ATGATGCCTTTTTTCTTACGGCTACGGATGACAACATATATTCAACTGGTCAGCGTTTTCCACTTCCTTTCGAGGATTGCCGTCCTGTTTGAGTTTATTTGTTGTCTTGAACTATCTTTGAAGTGAATTCTCCGGGCCTCGGGCCCTTTTGTCTTAAATATATTGAAATTAAAATTGAAATGCGCATAGCAAACGTACACGCCTACTAACTTAACGTGAGTAGCTAAATTAAAATACTAAAGAATTTAGGTCATGTCATTTGAAATTAACACAACGTGAAATAAAATCAAAAAGCGGCAGAGAGCGTACAGAACCTGTTTGTGCAGCTTTCGGGAACAACAGAGGTTTTCATTGGGAATTTAGAGATTTTAAGGAGGAAAAATTATCGCTTATGGGAGGAAAAGTTACAGGAGATAAGAAAGTCATGCTGATGAGGCAGATCAGGGAGCCCAAAGCGGATATTGTTAGTAAACTTATAGTTACAGCTACCCTGACCTCACAGTTTACGAAGGGTTTGTACTCGCCACAGCGTGAGTGCCTGCAAATTAAAGGATATATGACAAGATTGCATAGTTGTGTTTTGTACTCTTTTTGTCGCGCGAAGTTGAAACTTTTTTCCGAGGGACTTGAGGTATTTCGCGGTCCAGCCTCTCCAGGATTGGATAGGGAACGCCAGTTTTGGCCGCATTATTATTCAGAAGAGCTTAGCAAAATACTATTTATCGAACGCAAGGCCCGTTTGACAAAGTACAGGGCGAACATCGCAGACTTGGCAATGCAGCGGGAGCTTAGCTACCTTGTCATCCACAATCACAAATCTTTCTGCGGGTCCATGTCTTACAGTCAGATGTAATTCACGCGGTAAACCATAGGATTCGGAGACCTGATAAAGATCAAAAGCTACTTATCATCCGCAAACATAGCGAGGCAAACTAGCCCCATTTAAATTACATCAGACCGAAAAGTACCCAACCACGTGGCATGCCCAACTGTATGGTTGCGCATTTCCGGAGGAAATTCATACGCAGATGTGCTTTGTTTTACTTCCTCATATAGGAGCGTCGCACAATTGTTGGCTTGACCAGGCGCAAGCACTAAAGGTCTGAAGGTTCATTTCCTGTCTTAATAAACGTTAGTGCAATTCAAATAAACATATTGTATATTACTGATTATACAATCAATCATCAGTATGTTAAGACGAGCTTCTACCAATACTTTCCAAATTCCGCTCAATTTTCTTACTAGTGAAATCCAAGGCTTGGTATAGTCTGTTCCACAAAGATAGGAAGTGCCGAAATCGAAGGATCAAAAGTCGAAGTTGCTATGAATGCTTTGCCGTCACAGGGCAGTTTTTCCTGCGGTAAACTCTGAATATCGATTAATAAAAAGAATCGCAAGTTCACGCTTCCGCGGTCTCTATTCATACTGAAAATCAAAATCAAGTAAACTGTTGATCTTCTACTATACAATTAAGAAGTATGACAGATTTTAATAATTCGATCCAAACAACTGTGAAAAAAGTGTCCGGTCTCGGTTGGATTCGCATCCACATCAGTAGGGAAGGCACAGACGACGTTTCACGAGGGTACACCGAAGGTCTTGCATGTACTTTCACTTGGGTCGATTTTCCCGCCAAGCTTACAGAATGCAGATACATGGGTGCATTCTAGATACTAACTTATGTAATTCTGTCTGGAGCAGATGCTGTCCGTTTCAGTGGATTCTAACAGAGCAGTAGGTTGCGTGGGTAAATTATCTTACTTTTGAGTAAATGCAAGGCGTCCGGCGTGTCTTCGTAGCTCAATCTGTTACTCATTACATGTTCTAAAGATGTTTATCTTAGCAAGTTCTCCGGGCTTAACTTGGCACGTCTGCTTTACGATTTCGCAGATTAACTTACCCAGTCAACTTCCCTGCCTGACAAGTTTTTCGGATCAAAATATTACACCTGCACCCACAAAACACAAGCACTACTGTTCAAAAGCATTTTACAATGATGCATATAATCTTTCCCAGCGTTCCTACCGTGTTTATTATGCATATTTGGGACGCATTTTTACAATGACTCGACTTCTAAAACAATTTTGCTGCCCATGGATTTTAAGGTCTTTATGAGGGTCTTGCAACTTATTGACGAAAGACGTCGCAATGACAGCTTATGCAATCATGCTTCAAATGTTTCACTGGTTGTCTGGTCGCTACCTCGGCCTAGGATTTCAGCGTCATTAAAAGCGAAGGTGTGTTCAAAAGCCGCACAATGTGCCGCAACCAACGAGAGTCGACCCATCCTGTTGACTTCACTTGCGTGCACGCTCGTACATGCGTGTAGTCGCTTTGAGGTTTCCCCCAAATGTAGTTGGCCTCACAGGAACTACACTGGATGCGATAGACGACGTTTGCTGCTACTCCGTGTGACAGAGGGGCTATTTGTCTCATTGTTGCATCAGGTCTGTGGGCTAAGCCGATACCTAGAGGTTGTAGCAGACGAGCGACTGCTTCAGAAACATTCTCGATGTATGACATTGCCCTCCACAATCTCGGTTGTTCCGTCGCCGATCTTGCAGCTTCTTTCGGTTGTCTGGTGCGTTCTAGGAAGCTGCGAGGTAAACTGTAAAATATGAAAATCCGTCTAAGATATTTATGTTCAGCCGCTTTGTCACCTGCCTCGATGCAATGTGTTTCTGTCCCTTTGTAAAGCGTTCGCACACAGCTGCGTTCGTTGCCCAGCGGATGGTCGGCCAGGACGTCTAGGACCGCAAGTTGCTTGTTGCTCTCAGCCTCAGTTGTGAACTGAATGTCGGCAAAAACGAAGTCCAGCACTCAGACACGATTTCATGCTTGAGGACAACGAAGATGTCATCTACGTACCGCGCCAAAAATACTGGTCTTTGGTCCGTAAACACCAGTGTCTCTAACTTTTGAACGACAGCCTCAGCAAGGAAATCAGATAGCGGCGAACCCATCGGAGTCCCTTTGATTTCCGAATTAATGCGAAGGTTCGCGATCCAGGTAATTTTATGGACGAGGAAGAAGGCATATCGATCACCAGATCGATTGATTTATTGTTCTGAGCTTTCGAACTAGCACAAGAGTCCATCTTCAGATATGAGAAAGCAACCAAGTTAATTATAGTTATGATAATGATTATAATTAATTATAGTGGCCAAAGGCCAATCAACTTTCAGAAAACATCGGGTTGTCAGGGGGTTAGATACAGCAAACGAAAAAGGATAAGGGGAGGGGGGGCAAATATTTGCCACTGGAGTCGGGGAGGGCACTTAAGTGGTGTGCGCTAATCAGCTGTCACTGGTGTACAGTAATTAGCTGCCAGTGTAGCCGGGGTCATGTACGAGTTCGAAAGCTAAGAACAATAAATCAATAAATCTGGTGCTCGATATGCCTCGAAATGTACAGTAGGTGACATATCTGATGAAAGGTTGAGGATTGGTGTATTTAAAACAAACTTGAGGTCGTTTATCAAATTCATTGGGGTGGTTTGAGGCGCAAAATTTTGTTTACCAAAATTCAATTCTATTCAGTTCAGTATAGTTGGGGAAAATATAGGCGGAAATGGCAAACTCCAACCTTTATTGATTTCCTGGGAATTTCCAATGCTATTAAGCGTTGTGGAGAAAAGATGCTTGTGTCTGTACGCTGAAGAATAAAAATGCATCCATAAAGATCAGGAACTGTTAAATTAAATGTGTTCACAACAGAGAAAATTATGTTTGGCGTCCATGAAATTGAGGTTAGTGTACGTACGAGATACAGCACTATAATCAAGAAAAGATCGATATATTTAATTAACAAATGTTTGCCCTACATATCTGCTATGTTTTTTGCCCTAAAGATAAGTAATAAACTTAAAAGCGACCAAAATGTGTTTTACTACGTCAAAATTCTAAAGTCATCACCCACGCAGACAGCTACATTAGGAGGAATGTTTAAGAACTCATAATTTAGTATATTTTTTTGAGATATTTCTTATTTCTAATTTTTCGGTAAATAGGTTGAACAAAATCAGTATTTATGGACAAACAAAGCAAAACAGTGGAATTCGAAAACAGTTTGCTGCTCATCGCACTCGAACCCTCAAAATTATTTTAAAAATAGTTGACGAACGGAAATGAATTTCAACAGATTCAAGATGGTATGAATTGTAGTACAAATACAACCGTAATCTAACTTTTTAGTAAACAGCCAGCTTATCTGAGTGTGGTAGTCAATCTATTTTTTTTCGCTCAACAGCCTGGATATGATTTTCATAGAAAATATTTTTGCAATTGTCAATATAAATTGATAAAAGGCACGCAATAATCTTTTCGTGCATTAAAAATGGAAATTTTTACGAAGTACCACATTGATAAAAAACTGCAGTTAAGGTGACCACATCCATTTCTGATACATTTAATGTAATTTTAAATGTTACTGGAAACGATTTGATTAATGAAAATTTTGTATTTGTTCTTCTTTTGTATTGACTTGCCATCCTCTTCTATTCCCATGCCTCTATCATATTTATATTTCACATTGGGCTAGTAACTTCTACTATTGTTCCTATGAAATATATGAGAAAAAACTTACACTATTGTGTAGTCGTTTACTATATCAATGCATTTTTTCCGGCTTTCGAAAAGAAGATCGGTCAAAAGTTGGCAACTTGATGTGGCTGGAATATGTTGAGATTGGGTTATATGATAAGCAATTTTCAGCCCATTTTGCTATTTTAATCGAATCGAAAATAACGTTGCTCAAAATGTTTTGATACAGGAAGACTATTGTATTTCCCTGTCACGTCACGTGTAGTTGTCCATTAAGTAAACTGTTGAATCGCTCTATATACTTTAGATTTGTTTTCAACAATAATTCCTAATAATTTGATGTCTTGGATGTTGTCCGAAAAAGCTTTTAATTGGAAATTTTTTTACTCAAAATGAGCCAGACGCAGAATACTTCCGACAATGACCAAGACGTTCGACGGTCGACTTCCACGATATCCACTATGTGCTCCATAGCATAGAAATACAGGCACTGCGACTTTTGCGTAATTTTTTAATTACGCTGCTTGTATAATTTCCATGCATTGACCTAACACGCTCTCCCTCACTCACTTGAACCCGATGTCAGTACACACTCACTAAAATCGGAAGTTTACTGCATCTGATATGGAAAGTCGGGGAGCTGTGCGAAGCATATTTGCTTGTATTGCAGAACAAGGTGCCCGTTCGGCAGCGTACGAGCAGTAATGTGTTGTTTACGCACATGTTTATGTTAGTGTCAGTGATTGAGTTTTTGTGCGCGTGATTGATTGGTAAAAGTGTTGAGTATGCTGCGCATAGCCACCTGGCCCTATTAGGGACGAAAACAGACGCTTTATGTGTGTCAGCTTAGCCATAGTTGTGTACGAAACCTTAAAAATTATCTCACTTTATGTGTGAGAGCCATGTGAAATATCACAGAGCGTCTGTTATTTCGCAAGCCGTTACACTTAAGGTAAAATATGATTTTGTTAAGAAGGGCAGTTAATTTCCAAGAAAAGCGTAATTGCTATTAACAAAACACTATTGGAATCATTTGAAATTAAGGACAACGCTCTCTCATGTAGTCCTTCTGCAAAACGCAAGCAGTGCACTTATCTCGTTTCAGTATCCGAAAAGGCCAATGTTATGTTAGATTACGCAGTTATTTGGTTAACCTTATATCGGACAGCTGTCAACAAACGCTAATCATACCCCCAATTCCATATCTGAACAATGTAATCCTCCAATATAAACTTCGCAGTCTCTACTTAAATTAGGTGCCTTTAGCCTTAGCTACCCTAACCTGTAAAATCCCCCTTTCTAACGTTTGGAAAACGAAACTCTGTTAAGAATATAAGTTATAAAACAAGGAATAGGTGGGAATACAGTCGATGTCGTCACCAACCATTCTCGACGGAACAAGGAAGTAAAAGCAGAATAGTCATTATTAGCGTTTCAGCAACTGCAAATTGACACTAATATACTTGGAAAAATAAAATGTAAAATGTGGACGCCAGAAACTGTCATGTAGTCTGCCAAAGCCAAAATGCCCTCTGAGAGCCTCCGAAGTGCATCACAGACACTATATATTAAATCAATCTAGAACGATGGCAGTCTCTGAAGAAGAACTTACTCCCGCCTCTGATGGACCTACTGTAAACATGTACTGTGCGTGGCTTGGCATACGCACATGCATATCTTGGCGTATATTTAAGTACGTTGCAACCGATATGCCAGATAGCGTAACCCACTTTGCCGTAGCTGTCAATCAGTTGGAAGAAGGTGGAGTTCGCAAGAGCAGCTGCATTTAAGACTAGGTGCATTAACTACACAGAAAAAACTTGCCTGAGATTACGGCAGACGGTGGAGCTTCATGCACTGAAGTGGCATGGTCACTTAAGTGAGGCAAATATACTGAAAAAACCGACACCACCTAGCCGCTTACTCATCCCCATCTCGGTCTCCGAAGCACTTCTGTAGTTATAAAATGAGTTGAGCGATTAACTTTCTGTCAATATGAAAGGCAAAAAGGAATTGAGAGCACCACGTCAAATACCGTCTGCTCGGGGTACGTGCACTCAACAGAAACATAGAAACCTCTGGCTGCCATATTCCAGAGTTCATTCAAAGAAGGCAAACTCCCGGAAGAATGGAAGTGGGCCAACGTAATCCCGACCTATAAGGGAAGTACACGAATTGATTGCGCAAATTACTGTCCTGTCAGTGTAACTTGCATCGAGTGCAACATAATAGAGCGCATTATTGAGAAGCATTTAATGGAATTCCTGGAAAGCAACAAAATACTATGTGAT